AATCTTTCCTTTAGTACAGTATCATTATAAGAAACTATTTCCATTAGAAATCCATGACAGAGAGATAAGCTTCTTAAGATACATAAGTAAATCAGGTACTTCCTCACCTGTTTTAGAACATTCTCCACCTGTTCATAGTCTTTAGATACATCAACAGAAATACATAGTACAACCTGGAAAAGAAAGTGAAAGAACACTTTTACAACACAGTAAGTCCAGTAACTGTTGACTCCAAGCCTTTCAAAATGAAACAAAACCCACTGACATATCTTTTCCAGAAAAAACCAAAACACCAAACAAGAAGGCTTTTTGACAGGACAGTTTGTACTTCTCCCACACTGCAGAACACAGTCCCTGCCCCCTCTGAGCTTCTCCCCCTCCTACACACACGTTCTAGTATAATAAAGATTATATTAAGAAAATAAAAGCACTTCAGGATCTTCAAAGCAGCTACACATGTACAACATAGCATTTCTAATTTACTGTACTAAAACACGCTATGACTTATTTACATAAAGCTTAGTAAAAACTATTTGAACCAAGGCAGACAAAATTTCACAGTGCTACGTTTAACTTTCATCAGCGTTAAACACAAGTCAAACCATTTGTGTGCCTTAAGCTATCAAACATTAGGCTAACAAGCATTTTTTTTCCATATCCTAGAAAGGCATGGCTGCAGTGTTACTCTGAAAACTGCAGCATCAGCACTGGGGAAAAAAAACAAACCAAAAAACCCAACAAAAAACCAACCAAACTTTTCCAAAATTTATAAAGCAAGTGTTAAACCTTGCTAACTTCAGTAGTTGCAATGCATGCTACCCACTTTTTTCATCATGTCTTTATTTTTGTAGTAGTAAACTTAGTTGCACACTGCTTAATTGGGACACGTCAAGGACAAAACTAAAAGTTCTATGAGAAACTGAATAGCTGCAGTGTGATAAATACCTAAAAAGTGCAATAATGTGTATATATTTACTCTTTGTCTGGAAACCAGAGACTATGGGGTTTAGTTTGAAAGATAGAAAAGCCTGAAAATAACCATTGGCCTGAGGAGTGGGGTGGGGCAGGCAGGACAACAAAACCCAGATGACTAAATTATGTTGCAGATAAAAGTTGGGCCCCATTTTTCTTAAAGTCACTGATTACCTTCAGCAAGATGATCTCGGAATCCACATTTTGCAGCACCTTCACATCAACTTCATAGAATGATATAATGGCTAGAGTTGGAAGGGACCTTAAAGATCATGTAGTTCCACCAGCCCTGCCATGGGCAGGGACACCTTCCACTAGATCAGGTTGCTCAAGGCTCCATCCAACCTGGCTTTGAACACTTCCACGGATGGGGCAGTCACAACTTCTCTGGGCAACCTGTAACTTCTTCACATAACTTCTGGCCAAAGGAAGCATTGCCTTTGGGTTACCACTTACCAACTGTAAGATATAAATTCCAGCTTGGCCAGATATTGACAAACAAGCTATCCTTTCTGCTGAGCAATCAGCAGAGCTTCAGGGGAATTCATCATCTTCAAAGGAAAAGCAATCTCAATAAAAGGAGGTACTCCTGTATTTTCAATCCGATTTCTATCCTTTCTGTCACTTTGGTCAATTCCTTTAAACTCAGCTTGAGGTGAAATAAAACAAAGTCATCACCAGTTTGTAACAAGTATCATCATGACCACTTGCTGTGGAGAATGTGGACACACACACCAAAAAAGCAGCTTGCCACAGCATAACTAACTGCTTTGGCAGCTAGTCATTTGTCAGTCCTGCCTCTGGTCAGACTGCAACACTTCTTAGCTACATAAACAGAATTTGCTTGCTATTCCTGTATAGCAGGTTGGCTATTCCTGCCTCCCAGCACTGCGTGTAGTAGGACATAAGAGTAAACTTGTGGTGTGAGTTATTGGGTGGTCTGCATGCATCTCCCCTGAGGGCATTTATTCCATTTTGGAAACATTATCTTTTACAGAAGTTTAAGAACACAATACCAGTTGAACAGAAATGACACTGATTTATTATCTGGATGTCTTTGCAAGATCAGTGAGGAGGTTAAAATCACAGTTCTGTATCAGAATTGGAGCAGTTGGTTAATATATCAGATTGCACAGATTAGTTATTCATACTGTGAACATCACACTTGGGAACTATCACAGCTTTTATTGACTACTACCACATTTTACAATTCACCTCTCTACTTGTATTATCTTACATTCTTTCTTTTGCTACAATACACCGAGTACCTTCACTCCAAAGCATGAGCTATAGATCCATGCCTAGGACACGGAATACGTTGCCAGAAATAGCCTAATATCCCCAGCCCTGTTCCCCAACTTTTGTTCTAAATATTGCATGGTGGTAGATCATTAATAAAGCTTTCACAATAGAAGATCAATTCAGCTCCCAGTGAAGTTACTATTCTATATTAGGAAAGGGATTAAAAAAAACATTGCAGAAATACCTAAGGGCAACGATTTTGTTCCATTCCACACCTACACCCATAAAGGCTGCAGTGTCAGCACTCTAGATAAATCACATGAAAAGGTCAAACACTAAAATGTATGCAGATGTCAGACCCTGGCTGTCAATGCAACCTAGTTTCATGCATACATTGAAGCACTGAACGGTGACAGCATATGCTCATGAAAAAGTAATCTCTCCTGAGGATCTCTGCCTCTTAGTTTGATATTTAGTAAACATAACAGTCCCTGTGTACATGAGGTGTACAGATACCTTTCTCTATGCTCTTCCAGCAATCCTTTTGTACAGCTTCTCTCAGATCAGCTACCCTCGCTTCCCCGCTTCTGATCTGCTGTTCCAGTGCAAGCTCTGCCCGAGACTCCTTGCTTTTTCCAGTTCTGTTCTTTGCATTTAGACCAGGCAGGCTTTCCTGTGACCTTTTCCACAACCCAACAATAGCTACAGAAGAGCCAGCCCACCTATCAGCCCCACTGCCTATGCTTACTTAAACTGGCTACAAGTCTACAGCTGCCCCTGCAAAAGCAGTCTTGTTCAGTCCACACTGCAACTTGCTCAATCTTGAAGGTACTTTTTGGAGATTTTAATTGAAACTCTGAAGAACATGCACCAAGTAATACTTTTTTAAAAAGTCTGCATCTATCAAGCTTGGACAGATTTCAACAAGATCATCCTGACATAGTGTTTGACAAGGGATTAACTTTAATGCTACGCTTGGGAAACTACTAGAGCAGCTACAAGAAAGCAGTTATCAGGATTTATTTATTTATTTATTTTCGTAAGTGGGCAGAGTATAGCTTCTCCTCACCTCAAATGGCCCAATTTTTCAAATAGTTGATCTGAAGAAGGCCGCATGCACAGAAAAAAATAAATCAGCTTGGGCCATTTGTCAAAAAAATAAAGAAGACAGAATCTTATATCCTAAATTGAGGTATTAAGAAAATTTTGTATCAGCTAGTACTAGCATTATTGCCTCCAAATATTTGTCTTTTTCCATTGCTGCTTTTCAACAAAACATGCAGTTTACCAGTTCAAAACCTTTTTTACAGACACATAAATTGCCTGTATTTGTAATAATGAAAGTAACAAAAAAGTTTGGGAACATGAGAAAGGAGAAGTCAAATACATTAACAGTCTCAACACTGTTTCCCCTCTCCCCTTGCTTACTAGCACTGCAAAAAAAAAAAAAATTTTAGCATGTCACCTTGAAGTTGCACATTCTGAATATAGAAAGCTTACCTATACTAAGCTAGTACCTCTGCAAGCTCTAAAACAGTGCCTTTGTGCATGAATGCACTACCTATTCACTGAGGCAGCTTCAGTGTTCAGAAGTCTCAGAACTTCACAAATTTAACTTGTTTATCTGCTACAATTCTTTGCCAGGAAAAGGAATGTATGATGCCTGGAATCAATAACTTCTTTCCCAAGACAATTGCTCAATTGCTTTATTTTTCAATTGCAAAAAGCAAGAGATCTAGAGAAAGAAAAAAAAAAAAGAAAAAAAAATGGTTCTTCCACTTCATGTTGAAGAATACAAGCACTTACTGAGTGGCAGTAAATTGCAGCTATCCAAAAAAGCATACCACACCTACCGCTAAAGACATCAATCTTTGTCTCTAAGAAAATCAGGCTAATGTACTAGCGAGGCAATATCAAATGCAGCAGAGTTCAGAGTATGTCATGTAAGCGTATTTTTCAATTCAAATACTGAATCCTCACTTGTTTTTGTCAAACAGCTTTGTTTTAAAGATACAACTACTGAACTATGTTGTAGTAACTAAATTAAACTGAACATACAATGCTCACTGTTAGCAGTGATCTTACCTGCTTGTCATTAACTGAATACTTCTCTATTTCCTTCTTTGTCTGCAGCAGCTTGTTCTGAAATGGACACAAGAACATAGAAGTTCTGAGAGCAGTATTAGTCTCTGGTATCTGAATAAGGGTTAAAAATAAACCCTAAGCCCCAAAAGAGTTATCTGTAACTAGTTGTAACACTTTAATATTGTCATTTTACAGATTTATAAATATATTATGAATACATGAAATCCATCAAACTACCAGAACTCACTCATCTGTTATTCACTTCTTCTTCTAATGCCAGTAACAAAGTCTATAACAGATATAATGCTTTTGTTTCATACAACTACACAGAGCACCTAAGGTTGTAGGTACTAATTGTTCTTCTGTATTTTGGTTCTATTTTATATCTATGTAATACTATATAAACTATTCTGAAGTATAATCACTGTCACAGAATTATAATTAAAAAAAATAAACTAAAATTTGGTAAACTGTCATACTCCTTTCAAAAACACTTGTGTTCATTCTGGATGCATTAAAGAGTAAGCAAACTAAGTTCTCAAATGTAAGGAAATTATCAAAGCCAGCTGGGACTGAGTCCCCCAAATTAAGTGCTTTTATTTCCTGAATAATTAGGGTTTTTTTCTACAAATAAAATAAAAACCCATTATGAAAACAGTCATTCCAACTAAATTTGGAATACTTATTAGTTAAAAAAATCCCAAACAAATACAAAATAACACTTCTTCCTCCAGCATTGTCTTAATGAACAGTTTTTCACTAGTAAAAAGTGTGATATAATGCTGATTAGACACCAAAATATTCAGTGAATTTTAAGAATTGTATTTAATCTCTCAGTTGTCACTTACTGTAGGGTAATTCTATGGTTTTAAAGAATATAGGGTTTTTCCTGCTTTTGTTCTCTGCCACAGATCTAGACAGTGAAATAATGAATACCATTAACAGAAGTGGTAACACTGGCAGAGTTTTAAGACAAGCTAATTCCATGTTGGGCTACACTCCTTAAAAAGGCAGCTACCTCTGCTATTCAAATGCATTAATTTGAAATGCTTAAGATCCCCTTAAAATATAGACTGAAGAAAGCATGAATAATTATACATGCCGAAATCATTCCCCACTTGCATGGATTTTGTGAAGAGTTTAGCCAGTAAAAATACACATACACTTACCTCATCCCTTGCAATCAGTGTTATGAAAGCACCTTGTTTATAACATTCAATAGCAATACATTTTCCAATTCCGCTGGAGCCTCCAGTTACCTAAAAGTTATTTGAAGATGGCAGTGTTAGTCCACTATCCTCAAACCTTCTACCATATGATGAGTCAAATCAAATGAAAATTCTAAAAATATACTGAGATTAAAATATCACTCAATGAGGTGTGAGTACAGAAGATGCACTAAAGTTAGTTTACTGATTGAGTATGAATGAAAAAGACGTTCTGAATAGATCAATGAGCATTTGCTTCTACCCCCAAGTGAGTTTTACTTCAGTGGTATTTTTGCTCGTTTCTTACATCAAGCACATTTAGACCTGCACCCACATGGGCTCTCTCACATGCTTTTGACTAAGTTCTGCATGTTATTTTTAAAAGCAGAAGTAGTTAAAAGTTTGAAATCTCTATTCATGTTAGTCATAATGATACAACTACATACTGCCCCTCCATACCTGGTCACTATAGAAATTATTTGTAAAATTAACAATTACAGACTGCCTGATTAAGATATCATGATGTAAACAAACAGAAAATAGCTTCTTTACTATTAAAAAAAAAACACTTGGTCCTCTGTAGAGTATTTCCAAATCCCACTGTCTAGACTTTGAACTGTCCCTGCCATCCCACAATTCCAGTTTTGTGGGGATGCCAGCACCTAGACTTCCATTACCTTTTCTTCTTCCTCTGAACTGTAACACTGAGTAGCCCTCTACACAAACAGGAAATTTATAATAGTCTGTTTACACAAAAATGCCGGGTGATGCATCACATGTTGCAGGAGAACACACTGCCAAATGTTACTAATATACAGGTTAAAGTCACCTTAACACCTCTCTCACTACTCTGAAAAAACCTACTTACAAACTCCATGGGGAACAAGGCATAGATGACAATCCTGACCCCGCTTTTTGACAAAATAAAAATGTCTGCCTGTCTGACACTGCCTTTATACGATTTGTTCATTTAAGGCCAGTTGCAGTCTGCATGTACCTTTGGTCCTTAAGCAAACACAGGCATCTTCCTTATATATCCAAATCATTTGGATTTTCTTTTAACAGCATATTAAGAGACTATAATCAAGAAAATACTGGAAGAAAATGCCCAGAAGCACTTATTGTGAAAAAAATCTGTTGATGAAGTGAGTTCTCAAATACTGATTTCCTAATGCATGGAAGAATATTTGGACTGCGCTGGAGATCATAATCTTCTGTTCTTTATCACGTTTCAAAATACTTCAGAGAAAGTAAAGTATCACCTCTGTTTTAAGTATAAGAAAATGAAGGCATTGAGTTAATTAGTGTCAATGCAAAGATTCTCAATTTCTTAACTACACGCCCTATCAAAGCCTTGTGTTTGCTCTTCATCTGCCAATGCCTCTGGTTTCAGAGATGCATTATCCTTAAAATTCTTTCCACTCCTGGAGGCAATAAAGTCAGAAGATTCAGAAGTACATTCCCATGAGTCACTAAATTCTTTCACATGAGTATTTTATCACTAACCTTCAAAAATAGTTTAGTTATAACATGGTCCATGGCTTCTCACTGGCTTGTCTGCAGTCACAAATGGCCAAGAACGGGTATGGGTGTAGCACTCACAAAGATTAATTTAAGCTCTTAAGGCTTTCTCTATTATTAGAGATAGCTGCTTCAGATTAGCTTCTGACTCTCTCCACCAGATTAGCTTCACACTGCACAAACCTTTGAGGATGACTCCAAAATGCATGTCTAGAAATCTGAAACCTGCTCTGTGGTGTTCTGAACCAAGGATGACTTCTTTCAAAGTAAAGGAAGTCAGTAAGAGCGAGAGTGTTACTTAGGTTAATGATTTGCGACTTCAGCAGAACCCCATTTAATGCATTATGATGGAAAGAAGTTAAGCATTTTAAGGTATTTGCAAAATAGGTTGTGAGATTTCAATACATCTCTGGAAAGACTAAAAGACCGTTTGATACATTCAGGCAGACCTCAGTTCCACAGCACTGGTGAGCTGCTTCCACCAAGTTTCAACAGCAGCAGGTACACCAGCACATAAACTAATCAATGTGCATGGAATACTGCTCCAATTTCACTTTTTGGCATATAGCACTGAGGGACAGCTGCTTACTAGCTGCACAAAATGCTGACTATCATGAACAAGTCAACTCCACCAGGAACTGTACAGCAACTAGAAGAATTACTTGAAAGTGAAGTCACTGGCACCAAGCCACTGGCTTCTCAAACAATGCTAATTTCATTTCAGAAAGACAAGGTCTGAAGTCATGCAAGAAATGGAAAAAGGAAATTTTTATTCATAGTCACACTCAAGAACGCTGGATAGGGTTCATGTCAGATAGGTCAATGACAAAAGGCAATATCAATTAGCTGAGAATTTTAGCATTTAGGTGGGAGGCAGTTACTAATATGTGGGAGGTTGGCATTCATGGTGAATGCTCCTGAAACAGCAAAACAATCCATAACACTAGTGAAAACTGCTTTGTGCTACAATGAAGTTAGCCCAAGCAAAGCTATGAAGTCTGTTAGGTACGTAAGTTACTAATGTAGATGTTCAGAATTAAAAGACTACCACCCATCCACTCCATTAAACAAGACATTATTAGAGTTACCTCACCCTTGTGGCCAATAGTTCTACAGTGCTACTGCATCTCAGGTCCAGACATTGAAAAAACGGCATCAGTTGCAATTCAATTTCACTGTAACCCAGCCTCACAGAAGTCAACAAAAACCAAAATCTGGTCATAGGGGACTCAAAACACAGACTAATTTCTGAAAAGGAAGGGACAATTAAATCCTGGTATTCATTCAGATGTTCAGAATGCAATACTACCAGCCCTTGAGCAGCATTATTGAGCTGTTTCTGTGTTTGAAAAGAACAGGTACCAAATTAGCTATTCCAAAATGGCTGGCTCCAACTTCTTGAGCTGTGATCCTTAATAACAGAGTTCAGCTTCTAAGAATCATAGGGTTTATTTCCCCTCTGATAAATGGAAATGTTGGGGTGAAGTACAGAGAACTGCTGTGTGCTTGAATTGAAATTCACTTTAATTGATGAGACAGTCCAATTCCAAATTAATAGAATTGTCATCAGGAATGATCAAAATCAAGACTTAATACGGTATCTCCAACAGAGCTTATTAACTTTCACTTACCAGTGGATGCAAGCTGGCTTCATGCTTTTAGTCAGTGCTCTGACAGAAGGTATTTAGTTCCACTGGAACTGAACATCCCTGTAATCTGCTCAAAGCAGTTAGTATGCCTGATATGACTCAAAATGACCTCTTATCAAAACCCTCAGATGCATCCAAACCATAAATCATGTTACTCCCAACACAAGAGCTACAATGCTGAGACCACAGTTGCCAAGCTGGGCTCTGTGCAGAAGACACAAAACTATTTCTAGACTACAAATGACCCTTATGCATGTGGATTTGGCATAATCACCCTGAACTATGTCCAAACAATAGATTTCAATCTGAATGGGAGACAGTCCCAAGAAGAGAACATCTTTACATTTCCTACCATTGTTAGTCCACAAACTTTGATAAACTGCATTCATATCACTAAGATCTCTTCCCACATTTTTCCCCCCTCCGTTCCCCCTGAAAATTTCAAGTTGGTTTTAGAAGGATTAAGCCTGAAACAAGGGAAAAGAGGGGAAGACATTAGCATTGCTATTTCATCAAAGGCAGTTTCTAACATCACTCATGAAATTTACACAAGGCTGCTTTTGCCCTAACATCTTAAACTTTTATTGAGTTCTGCTCCATCAAGCAAAGTACCTTTGTAGACAAACAAAAAGAGCGACCAGAGAGAATGTCTGTGTAGGGCAGGTGTAACACGCCTGACAAAGGGCAGTTAAATGTGATGCAAGTGAGCATGATGCACATGAAACAGTGATGACTGCCTTATCCTGTTTTCTTTTTCCTGTCTACTATTACAATCAGCTTCCAAAATATAAGCTTATTCTCACAGAATAGGTGATCTGTGCTAGTACATAGCCTGAGACCCAAGGAGGGAGTTAATGGGAAAATAAAAGATATATAAAATAGTCTTCCAGATTTCAAAGCATGGAGAAGTTCAGTACAAGAAAGATTAGCTCTACAGCACAAAAATAATGTTTATACCCATTATTTAAGAACACTTTCCTAGTCATGCTAGAAGCAAAGCATTTTGTTCAAAATAAGTTAAACCTGATGCTTGACCCAATTTGATAGCAGAGAACTCCTTTTTAATGGTGCTCACTGGGGTCACCAAAATACATAGCATATAAGGGGGGGGAGGGGAACCCACAAGAATAGACCATTAGTAATTTGGAATTCTGTAGACTCTCACTCTGAGTAACAGTCCTATTATTTTCTAAGAAAAAGAGACTCCTAGGATTGTCATACCTCCAGAGAGCATGTCTTGCCTAACACAGCAAGTGCTTCCATCACACAAATGACTCTGGGAGAGGACAGAGAGCAAAAACCCACAAATTTTCTGCTTCAAATTTCTATCCCTAAAGGCAGCCAGAGTCAGTTACTTAGCCATAACTCAAACATCTATTAATCATAACTGTTAAGAGTGAAGAGAAATACTTTTTATGGACAATTGGTATGCTGGAGGAAAGGGATGCCATCCTTGACAGGCTTGAGAGATGGGCCCATGAAAACCTCATTTAGTTCAACAAGACGAAGTGCAAAGTCCTGCAACTGGGTTGGGGCAATGCAAAGCACAAACACAGGCTGGGTGGAGAATGGACTGAGAGCAGCCCTGAGGAGGACGACTTCAGGGTACCAGTTGACAAGAAGCTCAACAGGTGACAGCAGTGTGTGACTGCAGCCCAGAAAGCCAACCATATCCTGGACTGCATCAAAGGGAGCATGGCCAGCAGGCTGAGAGAGGTGACTCACTCTGCTCTGGTGAAACCCCACCTGAAGTTCTGTGTTCAGCTCTGGGCTCTCAACAGAAGAGGGATGTGGACCTGCTCAAATGAGTCCAGAGGAGGCCATGAAGACACTCAGAGGGCTGGAGCACCTCCACTGTGAAGGCCGAGAGAGTTGGGGTTGTTCAGCCTGGAGAAGAGAAGGCTCTGGAATACCTTAAAGCAGCCTTCCAGTACCTAAAGGGGGTCTACAGGAAATTTGGAGCAGGACTTTTACAAGGGCGTGTAGG